CCTCCCCTCATACACACACTATATGCATCTTTACATATACACACACAATATGCGTCTGTCTGTACATATACACACACTATATGCGTCTGTCTGTACATATACACACCCTATATGCATCTTTACATATACACACCCTATATGCATCTGTCTACATATACACATACTATATGCATGTGTCTGTACATATACACACACTATATGTGTCTTTGCATATACACACACTATATGCATCTGTCTGTACATATATACTATGCATGTGTCTGTACATATACACACTATGCATGTGTACATATACATATATACACCATATGCATGTGTATATGTGTATATAATATACACATACACTATACACACTCCTCTCTATATAAAAATATGTATTTTCATAGATGTATATTTTAACATATATATACACATACTGTATGTGTGTATATACACATAATGTATATATATTTACATCATTCATTAGCATTTACTTAATTTAATCAGTTTTTGTGGTTTCTACACGGTTTCTTGTAATTCATATTATCATTTTTCTTCGATTTATTGGTTTTTGCTAGAATTAATCCTTAAGAAATTCTTTTTAGAGAGGTCGTATGGGTTATGCTTAAGTCCTTACATACCTGCAAACGATTTCAATTTGCCCTCTTACTCAAATGCTAATTTGACTAGGTATGTGATTCTAAATTCAAAATCATTTTCTCTCAGAACTTTTAAGATATTGTTCCACTATGTTCTGACATCTGATGTTTGCCAATGAGAAATCTGATGCTAGCCTGATTCCAGATCCTTTTTAAGTAATGTTTTAATTTTCTTTCTTGAAAGCCTTTTAGAATTTTAAAAATTATTTATATTGTAAAGTTTATCCATGATACGTCAAGTATGAGTCTTTTTCTTTTCTTTTTTTTGAGACAGTCTGTCCCTCTGTTGCCCAAACTGGAATGCGATGGCAAGATCTCAGCTCACTGCAACCTCTGCTTCCCGGGTTTAAGCGATTCTCCTGCCACAGCCTCCCAAGTAGCTGGGACTACAGGCATGCACCACCACAACCAGCTAATTTTTAAATTTTTAGTAGAGACAGGGTTTCATCATGTTGGCCAGGCTGGTCTTGAACTCATGACCTCAGGTGATCTGCCCACCTTGGCCTCCCAAAGTGTTGGGATTACAGGTGTCAGCCACTGCGCTTAGTCAAGTATGAGCCTTTTTTTGTTCATCCTGTTCTACACTCAATAGATTCTTTTGAGAGCTTGTTTTTCTTAGCTCTGAGAAATATTATTTTGTTTCCCTACATTTTCCTCTTTTCTCTCCTAGAATGCCAGTTATACAGACAATCAGTTAAGAATGTTTTTGGCTTTAAGTAACAGAAAGCCCTTTTCCCAGTGATTTAAACAAATAAGTGGTAGTTTCTATGAAGTGAAAGGTCAGAATCTGGTTGCTGTTTTTGCATATTTGTATGACAGAGAAATAAGCACATTTTAATTTGAAGACTTTTCTGTCCAACCTTCCCCTTTTTATAAATGTGGTTTTTTCTGGTTTTACATAGTCAGCAAACTGAATCTTCAGGCCAAATTCGAGGAGTTGCTGTTACATCTTCAGCAGACATTGAGGTCACAAATGAGAAGCAGGGCAAAAAGAAGAGCAAAACTGCAGTGAATGTTTTACTGAAGCCAAATCCTTTGGACCAAACTTGTATTCATCCAGAATCATATGACATAGCAATGAGGTAAGTCTGAGGCCCATGTGGAAATTCTCCATATCCAGAGTGAGTTCTTTACAGCAAATGGCCTTTGTTTTGGCATAATGGAAACTGAAAAATATGACCATGTTTAATGTGACAACATTTTTCAGAAGTTCTGCATTGCTGAGTTATGTGGCACATTATTTTATTTCAGTGAGGAATGAAGCCATTACTCCTGGAGCATTGTCAAGCTAATAAACCCTGATACTAATGGTGAAGTGTGTGTAATGGAAATTGCATGGCACTCCCCTCTGTTTGTTTTGGAAATTAACAAGACACAACTGACTAGAACCTGGCATAAAACTTGTGCTTTTCTAAAGATAAAACCCTTTTGAAAGTATACAGCCAACTCAGCTTTCTTAAGTAATATTTTTATTGGTTATTGGTTATTAAAATCTAAGAAATGATGTACTTTTAGTGAGTATACATTAACAGAATGACATGGGGGAAGCTTTTGAGTATAAGGGAAGTTTAAGGCATAAAAAGAAAAAACTTTTTAATAGCACATTTAATTAGTTTTAAGTTTTTTTAATTAGTTCAAAAACAGTGAGTTGCTACATAATGACATTTTTAAAAGATTCTTACTGAATTATATGACAGTATAAGAAATATAGTGAATATTTTAACTTTTATTGAATCTAAAATGAGATTTTTGTTTTAAAATCACTTGTATTTGATTATTTTAGTAAATGTCATTATGTCATTAATTTGCTTTCTTTTAAAAATATTTTAAAAGACTATAGTATATTATAGAAAACTTAGAAAAAAGAAGTAAAAAATAATATTCTGTCAACATCTAGCTGGTTCGTGATTTCCCCCAAAAGTTTTATGATGAAAAAATTTAACCATACAGAAAAATTGGAAACAAAAATTTTACAGTGAATTCCTATATAGCCACACCTAGATTTTATCATTAACATTTTACTATATTTGTTTTTCTACATATCCATCTACTTGTCCATCCATCTTTTTTGTTTTGTTTTGTTCTGTTTTGTTTTTGAGACAAGGTCTTTCTGTCATCCAGTGCAGTGGTGTGATCTTGGCTCACAGCAACCTCTGCCTCCTGGGTTCAAGTGATTCTCGCGCCTCAGCCTCCTGAGTAGCTGGAGTTACAGGTGTACAGCACCACGGTCTGGCTAATTTTTTATATTTTTAGTAGAGACGGAGTTTCGCTATGTTGTCCAGGCTGGTTTCGAACTCCTGGACTGGAGTGATCCGCCCACCTTGGCCTCCCAAAGAGCTGGGATTACAGGCATGCGCCACTGCACCTGGCCCATCTTACGTTTTTGATGCATTCCGAAGAAGGTTGCAGACATTGGTACACTTTGCACTAAATACGTCAACATTCAAATAATTAACTACAATTTGATAATTCTTTACAATTTTTTTCTTTTGAGGTCACATTTACATACAATTAAATTTTAAGTTTGTATTAGCTGAATTTTGACAAATACCTACATCTGTGTAACCAAACTGCTGTTGAGATCAGGAACATTTCTATTTGAAAACGTTCCATTATACCTTTTCCAATCAGTTACTGCCGCAGCCTCCCAGAGGTAACTACTTGTTTTGATTTTTTTCTACCAAGGATTAGTTTTCTCCCTCTACCATACAGTTGTACTCATCTGTGTAAGGCTTCTTTCAGCGTCATATTTAGCGATTTATCTGTGTTGTAACAAGTATCAGTAGCTTATTTTTTATTGCTTAGTTATATTCCATTGTGTGAATATACCACAGCTTATCTATTTTCCTGTTAATCTATTTTCCTATTAATCTAAGAGGTACAGGAAATACCAAACTGTTTTTTTATACTCTCTACATTCGGTACAACGGAGAACACTTCTGTGGCCTCTGGTCACCAAAATATGTAGGGATTTCTCCCCTCCAACCAGTCAATTCTGCAGCAGATTATCCAGCAGACATCACCTGGGTGTCCTCTAATTCAGTTAATTTCTGACACTGTCTACCTGGAGATAGTGTCAGATCCCACAGGTTGAGGGTTCAGTACTATAAGATTACTCCCGACTTCAGGCGCCTGGTTTGTGACCTATAACTTCAGGATTCCTACGACCCTGGAGTTCAATTGATTTGCCAGTTTACAGAACTCAGGGAAACATCTACTTAATGTTCATCCACTTATTATAAAGGATATTGCAAAGGATACAGATGAACAGCCAGATGGAGAAGATGTATAGGGAAAGGTAGAGGGGAAAGGCATATGGGAGGAAGGATGTGGAACTTCTGCGTAGGCATACTACCCTCTAGGAACCTCCAGGTGTTGAGCTATCTAGAAGCTCACTGGAACCCAGGCTTTTGGGTTTTTAGTAGGTTTCATTACATAGGCACGATTGAATCATTGACTGTTAGTGATCAACTCAACTTTCATCCCTTCTCCCCTGCCTGGAGGTTGAGGGTCTGGAGCTGAAAGTGACAACCCCTCTACTCACTTGTTTGGTTTTTCTGGTGACCATCCCCTATTGTGAAGCTATCTAGGGGACCCCAGCTACCAGTCATGTCATGCAAAATACACTCTTATCTATCACTCTGGAGATTCCAAAGGTTTTAGGAGCTTTTTGCAGGGAAATGGGAGGAAAGCCAGATATGTATTTCCCAGTATCACATGAACCTTGCTTATTTCCAGTCTTTGGCCATTCTGAGTAAAACTGCTGTGAATATTCTTGCACAGTTTTTTTGTTGCCTTTGACCTTTGTTTTCATTTATCTTAGAAAAATACCTAGGAGAGGAATTGATAAGTCATGAAGTCTGATGAAAGTTTAGTTTTCTTAGAATCCCTCTGGTTGTACCATTTCACGTTTTACACTTTCACCATGAGAATTCTGGTTGCCTCGCATTTTTGTCATATGATGTTAGGTAGTTGTTAGCCATTCTAATGCGTGTAGAAAGATCTATGTGGTTTTAATTTGCATTTCCCTGGCAACATTGAACACTTTCTAATGTGCTTACTAGTCATTTGTATATGTTCTTTGTGAAATATTTGTTCATATTATTTGGCCATTTTCTAATTGAATTGTTTGCCCTTTTATTATTGAGTTTTGGGGGTTTTTAATATATCCTGCATATATAAAAATGTACTTTGTCAAATATATGATTCATGAATATTTTTTCCCAGTTTCCTCTTTTTTTTAGAGACCAAAAGAAATGTCTTATTGCTGTCTTAATAATATTTATCAATTCTTTTGGTCCATGAACTTATTATATCTTAGCATTTATTTAGGTCTTATTTCTCTAAGCAGTGTCTTTTAGTTTTCAGTGTACAGGTTTTGCATGTGTTTTATTAAATGTATTATATGTTTTTCAACACTATTGTAAATGGAGTTTTTAAAATTTGCTGCTACTTGTTTGTTGCTAATATATAAAAATATGAGTTTTGTATAATAACCTTATATCCTGCAGACTTGTTAAATTCACTTACTAGTTCTACTAGGTATTTGTAGATTCCTTAAGTTCTCCTATATAAGCAGTTATGTCATCAGTAACTATATTAAACCTTACTTCCTCCATTTTAATCTTCATGCTTCTTATTTTTCTTTACTTTATTCTTTTTTCTTTTTTTCTTTTTGCCTATTGCAATGGCCAGGACCTTCAGTACAGTGTTGAATAGGAATGGTGAGAGCAGATATCCTTGTCTTGTTCTCAACTTTGGGACATGGTTCTGATTTTTTTTTAATGTAAAAAAATTGTAGTTCCATAGTAATTGTCTTTTTAGTGTTTGATGAGAAGGTGCATATGTGCACAGGGTTTCATAGACTTCTTGCAGTAATTCTGAGCTGTACATGGGGACTACATTATTTTGTTCCGTGTAAATCACTATCTTTTTTAGGGGCGGGTGGGGATCGGAGGGAATGTGGACAGGGTCTCACTTTGTCACACAGGCAGGAGTGCAGTGGTGTGATCTTGGCTCATTGCAGCCTCAACCTCCTGAGCTCAAGCAATCCTCCCACCTCAGCCCCAAATAGCTGGGACTACAGGCATGCGCTGTGCCACCATGCCCAGCTAATTTTTGTATTTTTAGTAGAAACGGGTCTTCACCATGTTGCCCAGGCTAGTCTTGAACTCCTGCGCTTAGGCAGTCCTCCTACTCGGCCTCCCAAAGTGCTGGGATTACAGGCGTGAGCCACTGCATCCAGCCAGTATCTTTTATAATGTATGTTTTTGTTTGTTTCCATAATCTGATTATAATATGGTTTAGAAGTTTCTCAATTTTTGTCAATTTGCTTTCTATTGTAAGCACTGTTTTTTGTTTCTACATATCCCTCTCATTAAAAGCTTAATGTTTCATCAAGTGATTGAACTGTAACTTATTTTAGCTATAGTAGCGCTAATAGTGGTTCATTATGATGCATTCCTAGAAGTAGAATTACTCTATTAAAGGGCCTGAAAGTTTCTGTGGCTCTTGAAATACATCACCAAGTAACACACTGATTTATAATGCCATCAGCAGTGTTCAAACCTGAAAAATCTTGAATTTCTCCTGTTAAACAGGACTTTTTTTGGCCAACTTTTATATGGTCCAGTTTCTGCATGTGAAATATAAATGCCCTGCTAGTGACTTCACCCTTCTGTCTGTTTCCTTTGGAACTGTGCTTGTCTCTCAGAAGGAAGATATTTGTGAACTAGTTAATGGGAAATTTCTTCTGTTGCAGTCCAACCCCTGACCTTTAAAACCTAGAGATTATCGCTTCTGAGCCTTTTGGCTAAGATCAAGTGTTAAACCTAGAGATGAAGTTAGCAATTTATCTTGCCATCCCCATCATCCAGTTTGGAACTGCGATAGCAATTTCTGGCTATCAAGTACGCTTAGTTTAAACATCACCCATCATAGGTCGTTCATACTCTATATATTCTCACACAAGTGTCTTCCCAGGGAAGAAAAAAAGCCCATTTAAGATGTGGTTAGGTCATCATTGGTTTGATTTCAGTTCTAGTAAAAGAATTTTTGTTGCAGGCCATTTCATGTTTTAGTT